AACAATTAATTTAAATCAAACACCCCATATATAGTATTATTGTTTTTGGTTGGGGGAGTACATATCTCATGTCACCTATAGGTACACACAGGCATTCCCTCCTTCGCCACCCCCATCGTTGTCGTTTTGAGAACCCGGTTTTGAGATCAGGGACATTAGGTTTGGGGTGAACATTTTCCATTGCGTAGTAGCAGAAGGTACAACACTAGGAGTCGGGAGCTCACAGCAGTGCTATCTTATCGCACCCCCGGGACTGATTTTTGAAGTTCGATTGCTCCACAGCACAGAGAGTGGTGGTGCCGAAGATGGTGTCGCCATGATGGGTCTCGTCGAGAGCTTTCCATTAGCGTATCGTTTGATTTGTACATCCTTCCTCGTGGAGTAGCTGGCCTTCACAGATCGATCCAATGGGGTGTGCTATATGGTATGTTGTGTTATCTATATGTAGATGGCATACAACAGTTGTAGACCACCACAGACAGGTAGCATCGTAGTTTTGAAGATCTGTTTGTGCGGTGCCCCCTTCACTGTGGAGCATGCCTGAACGCCATGCTCGGCAACCGCGCATGCATCGTTGCTACATCTTGCTTGCGTTTGGGTTGATGTATGCATAGGTGGCCGATAATGTGTAAATAGTGTGGACCTTGACTACGGATAGAGATGGAATTTGTTTTGTTTCCATATGATGGAACTAAAACATGTCTACACGTAGGCGAAGGGGTTGGGTTCTTGATGAATACGAATTCCTGTATCTTGTCGCTGTGGGAGGCCAGAGCAGACCACCGGGGTCACTCTCTACATGCGTGATGGGGCCACGCGGGACAGGCAGAGTCACAACTCGTTTTCGCCATACATACCTGGAGGTCTGAGTACCCCTGAAGTGCTGGTGGTGGCGCTTGGAGCACTGTGAGTGATCCAGGCCGGATTCACGCCATTGAACACTGGCGAGAAACGCCGGCGGCAGGAGGGACTGGTCTGTGTGCCGGGAGACAGCATTTTACGCACCGGTAGCAACGGCGGTGTCACACGCACGGCTCCGTTGCCATTCGCCTAACGGGTGTCGCCCCCATTTCCTTTTTTTTGTGTCGCTTTCGGCTTCAGGCCTCGGACCTACGATGGCTGCATCGTGCACGGGCTTATGGTGGCGGGGCTGTTCTCGACTGCGTTCGGCAGGGCTATATCCGGGGCGCTGTACGTCTCGCAGACGCTGAGGTGAAGAGTAAGGGCAGGGGAAGGTACCTGGTACGGAAGCTATAGCGCAAGCTTTGGGTGTGCGGCGTTCAAAGGCGCGTTCTCCCTACGTCTCTTTTTTGTAGCTGAAGCCAGGATGTGCTACGTCTGATGGGTGCGTAAACACTTGAGTCTTGCAAGAAGCCTGCAAATGTGGCCCCAGTTCATGGATTATCAAGCCGCAGCGTGAGAAATTAGACGTCAGAATGGGCTATCCACCGCCAACGTGCTTGGACTGACGAAGAGGCCTGGCGAGCGTTCACATTCTCTGGTGTACATGTGCGGGTGATTGCTGGCAGAAGCAGCGCGTACGTGTCTCACAAATTTCGGATGCGTCGTGGGTTTAAAAAAAGGAGCCTGCCTGAAGGACCGTTGCGAAACGTAAACGTATGTATATAGTGGCGTACGGCGTGCGGGCACCTTTTTTCGACGGTTAACCTTGTCCATATATGCCCTTCGAGCAGTTTGGTTACTACGCGTTTTCACGCCCAAACGTGAGGCAATGACGCAGGCAACACACTGCAGTTATCACGAGTTTCTTCAATCTTTTTTTCATCAGCCTGATCAGACCCCGAAATCAATAAACATTATCAAAAAACAGCAGGAAAGCGCGGACGAGAAATAACGCCTGAAAGGATGGAACGACGCCAGACAGATGAGGGATTCCATCAACATGACCGTTCGCGGATTCCACCCGTGGGGGTCATCGCCGGCCCCCGCTCACCCGTCGTATCGCCCGCACTAGTTGTACATGTCATTTGTAATTGTCCTCTGTAGCGCTCATTGGTTTGCTGGACCACGCTGGGCGTAGTGTTGTGGGCACGTGTGTTTCGCTGGTGTAACATCGACAGCGCTAACCGACTGACGATATTTATGACGTCAGTGTCAGCGGATACGAATCAACCAAGACTCCCGGAAGGAGACCAAAAGTCGAAGAATGGGAGTCGCCTAGCATGCTCGCGTATTCCTCTCTACAAACCCGTGGTTTCTACCAGAGAGCAATCCGAACGAACTTGAAGATCAAGGACAGAAAATGTTGCATAATATAGACGAAGAACACGTTGCTCTAGGCTTAGGGGTCAACCCCTGGTGCTCTCGGGCACCAAGCACTGCCAACGTATCACATGTGCCCACTCACGCTTGGTGGTGCGTTGTAGGCCGGACATGTTGGTACTCTTTGTCCGGTAATACCGTAGGGCGCGGTAGGTTCCCGGCGGTAGATCAATGTACGGCGGCACACGGCCTTAGTACCACTACCGCCCACCATGGCGGTAATTCGACTACAGACGCAACGGTGTACCTACACTCCAACGGAGGGTACCTCAACCAAGTGGACAGGGCACGCGCGAGAGAGAGAGTGGGAGAGAGAGAGAGAGAGAGAGAGAGAGAGAGAGAGAGAGAGAGTCGCGTCCGAGGGGTATGAGGTTTGCAATCGTTTCACATTTCTTCACAATAGTACCAAGTACCCCAGTCACAGACCCCCCGGAGCCTCCTACAAACCGCACCGCCAAATCTCCTGTCTGTGCGCCGGGAATGGCTGTACTCCCCCCCCCCGCGCGCGCCCCCTTTCCAGGTTCGAACGACCGGTGCTAGTCGGCGAGAGAGTTGACGCGCGAGTCGAGGTGGAGCGGGCACGAGTCACGTCCTCGGGCCGGGAGGTCTTGGTGCGGTGTTCCACCGTAGCATCTCTTGCCGACGGCACGGTCGCCGTGTCGGGTCAGGCGAAGGTTCTGTTGCCCCGCACGTGCGAGGTCCGTTCGTGGTAAGACGAGGCTGATGATATCAAGAAGGCTCCGGGTTGTTGCCTCACGGGAGGGACCGCCCCCCCCCCGCGTGGTCGAGCCTCTTCGGGGCGAAAGCGGGTACACACCTACAGAAGAAAGCGCATGAGGCGCACACTTTCAAGGCACGCCTGGGAGTGAGCACGGCAATCGGGCGGATTAAAGTGTCGGTTGTAGCGTAGGCAGGTGCGTGGTTTCCACTGCCCGTCTCGTTGAGCGTGGCCTCGTCAAGGACCGTCGAAAACCTCGCCCAAATCATCAGGATGAGGCGAAAATGGTTGGTAAAATATCGCGTTTTAGCGTGTAGCGACAACGACTTCATTCGGTGTTTCTGGTTCCGGTATGTAAGCACATGGTACATATTCTACGCGTGCGGATCGCGTTTACATGGGTTCTGTTGCGTAGGCTGGTGGGTATACCTTCGTGTGATCACGCACGACACAGCCGGCCGTGCCGTGCGATTCGCCGCCCAAGTTGACGTGGTTTCTGTGTTTTTCTGCCCGGCGTGTCCCGTTGGCTTCTTCAGCCATCTCGTGGACTCTCCTAAGGGGGCATGTGTGTCGATATAATTTGTGTCCTACTGGGCACGTTTTGAGTGAAAAGCATGGAAGGAGTTCGTATGAAAAGCTGTGAAGACGAGGCGATGGCGAGATCCTTCTCGCGTTTTTGTTTGAAGGAGCGTACGGCAATTTCCTCTAGGCAACAACACACTGACAGCTGAGACTCGGAGCGGAAATTACGGCGAGCACATGTAACAGATTTACGTTCCTACAGAGATTGCGCGGTACATGCACGTAAACTGCTGTATGTGTCGGCGTCTAGCCTACCGCATTAGATCGTCATGTAGTCTTTTGTTTCTGTTTCTCCGCACCTTTTTTTTTGTTACTTGAAAAAAATGTTGTTTTTCACTGGATATTAATTTCCTTCCTAATGGAGCCGGTCGGGGGTCATAAAATCATTTCTCCCCGTGCGGCTCATGCGTGAAATTCTACCTCAAGCAGCACCACATAATTAAGAGCTTGGCGCGCACGTAACATCCTTCCTTCTTGTTGCTCATAATTAATTGATGTCGAGACACAATAAATAATACTTGTACGGCACATAGATCACACTGGATTTATTCTGGACCCTATCACGCACAGTTTTTTTTTGTGGGCACATAATTTTCTTTTGGATGTAGGACTTGGTAGTACCCCGGGTCGATGCTCTTCAGCGAGCGGCATGCCCGTGCGGCAATAACGAGATGAAATGAGCAGAAAAATAGAGGAGAATCTTCTGTCTCGGCAAGATGCACTAAAATACTCTATAAGAAACAAGAGCAGGAAGACACGTCGTTGAAGCATCATTCGTGATCACGGAAGATGTGAATCAGCTGAACTCGTTACTACTACTGCTGTACATGCAGAGCACACAGACAGGGACAGAGACAGGGAGAGGGAGGACACCGCCCACCGCACGTACGTTTTGTGCTGCGCGTAGCAAAAAATAAAGTTAGACGTACGTAAGTGCCAATTCGTACTCTACCGTGCTGTACAAGCCCCCAGCAGAGCCACTCCTCCTAGATGAAGCTCTACGGCTGTAGATGTCTCCAATAGCTAGCGATGGACCCAAGCACGATGAAATTCCATACGCCACAGCGCTAGAACTCAGCAGTGAAAGACCTCAATTCGACCCCAAATAAATAGGCAACAGCGGGAAGCCCCCAAAAACGCGGCGGAACCTCTACCGAGCCGACGGCACTTTCCTGTCGTACACGAGAACGCGCTGTATACGTTGCCAATTCGCACGAAACTTGGCAGGAATGCCTACTGTTGGATGGAGAGCAAGATGGCAAATCCTTGCACTGACGTGTTCCACGTAGCCGGCGGAGGGACGGGTTTAGTTGAAAAATGGCATCCACGCGCAGGCGTCATGCTTAGGTGTTTCAAGTCTGTTCACAACAGGATACCTCGCATCTTGTAGCTGCCTCTTTCGCAGACGTACAGCACTTTGAATTAGGTTGCATCATGCTGTATAAGCCGAGTACGCGTAATCGGCGCGCACCATATTTTGAACTGGAACCCACCTGTCTGTACGTCCTGTACGATGTTGTTGCACCGCGAAACTGCGGGACAACCAACAAGAAGAGCCCGTTCCCCTCTTATCTCTCTTTCGCGATCATCATTTTTTTCGACCTCGTTCTGGTTTGAATAAGAGACATAACAATCATGCTCGATAGTACTTTCCGATCCCGGGGGGGAAAGAAACCGTCCGCTACACTTCTATACGTTGAAAAGAACGAAGTACTTCCAAGTTTGTTTGTTTGTGGGCATATCGCCCGCAGGGCGCACGCAAGTTTTGCATGAAAGTGTTACAGGGCGAGGTCCCGGTCTGTCCACGGAGAGCATAACGTATGCATGAACAGGAGGGGGGGTGGAACGAGACTTCCACCGCCGATTAAGTACATGTACGGCGTTACCGTAGCAGAAAGGCCACATTTTGTCCAACGTTTTTATTTGAGTTGGGTCGAGCAATATTCCACATTATGTACAATCAATACTGCTTCTCACGTCGGCCCAAATGGTAAATACAGTCAAACCAACAGTCAGCCGCGCCAAAACTGACAAAATGCCAAACATACTAAACTGACTCCAGAACGTCACACACGCTGGAAAATATGGTCGAAGTGGACAGCGTCCTTGCCTCAAAAAACACGGCAGGATCTTGAGCACAAGAGGAGTACACAAAATAGCTGCACACACACACTCATGGCAGATAGAGGTGTTTTGCGTTTTCAACCGCACTAAGACTGACGTCTTTTCATTGGTCAGCCGGTTAGCGCGGTCGATGCTAATAATAAAAACACACACACACACAGGTTTGTACACCACATGGGCCCAGAGCCGATCTATCACGAATAAAATAAAGGCAAGGATCGCAGCAAAGAGGGCGAACGGTGGTGGTGCCACCTATCTATCCAGCTCGTGCGTTTCCCACCCACCCCCACACAAGCACACCCTCCCCACAACCTATTCTCCAAGGTCTCCTCCTTCTCCACCATAAGGTATTTCGCACGGAGGAACCTGTCGTTGTCATCGCCACCATTTTGTCGCACACAAGCAAAAGCAGCAAAGGCAAACAGCGGAAAGCGCACGCGTAAAGCATGGGGGTTGGTTAATGTGGACTAAGGTCACCTGGGTGGGATTTAGTTCGGCGTTCTGCGCGCCCTAGTACGTGCTCGTACGTGCTCATACCATGAAATCGGACCACAAACACGCAATTCCGTGCCTCACCCCCAGTGTATGGTCGAGAAGTTGGTAAATATACAAACGGAATCAGATACACACCTCAACACGGCTCTTGACCCCTCAGAACCAGTCAGCTCCCGTCGCGCCCCATTGACCTTCGACTCCCCCCGCATTTCCCCACCCTAAATCCGGCCCGTCCTCCGACATGCCTGATCCCCAGTCGCTGAAGGCATCGCTGTAGTCGGACGCATCGGACTCCCACCCTGGGATTTCATCCCGCGCTTCGTTTTCCTTCTCCTCCTCCTCCGCTTCCTCCTCCTCCCCCCCCTCCTCCTTCGCTTCGGTCCCTGTCGAATCATCCAGCGCGGCGGCCTGCTGACTAGCGGCTGGCTGTTGACTAGCGGCTGGCTGTTGACTAGCGACTGCCTACTCACTAGCGGCTGGCTGCTCACTAGCGGCTGGCTGCTGACTAGCGACGCCTGCTGACTAGCGGCTGCCTGCTGACTAGCGGCTGCCTGCTGACTAGCGGCCCAATACGCCAAAAGATAGCGAAGGGGCTCCGGCTACGATGGCAGATGTTGGAGGAACGGATGGTGTAGCATGAACGGAAGGTGTGCAGTAGCAGGAACAGTGGACGCAGCAGGAACCCTGGAGGAGGCAGCAGCGATCCGAGCCTCAGGTTCCGACGCTCGAATCAGTTCACAGGTAGCCCTGCACACGCATGCCAGCGAGCATTTCCTTCCTGCTTTTCGACAGCCGCACCTCACGCAGAGACTCTTCTTACCCGGGGTCGGTTTGCAACCACATTTCTCCGTTTGCGTCTTGTTGTCGGTGCCAACGTAAGAATACTCAGACAACCATAGCACGCAATTCTCCGCTATCATGTGCCCCGAGCTGGTCCCCCCCCTTTCGGGCGATCCCCCATCCCTTGCCGTTGAAGTCTCGTACTGGTACCACCTCTAAAAAGCCATTTTGCCAGTACCCAAGCACCTGGTGGCCTCGCTCGCTCTGCTGGCGCATGGACTCGAACGCAGGGCACGTTGATGTAGCCCTCTTTGAACCACGCCTGAGGATAAGCATCCGGATGACGTCGACGTAATGTGCGACATCGCCGTTGACCATGCGGAGAATCCAGCCGGGCTCCTGGCCACCACGAGCAAAGACAGCTTCATCCAACGGTGACCCAACCGTATTCCTGGTGCCCGCATGCCTTCGCGCGCGGCTTCCTCTCTCTTTTGCTTCCGTCACTATCGGCAGCTGCTCGTGGTCTCTTCCCATCTTGAACTCGCCGCCGAGAACGAATTCCCGCGGTAGTGCTCGCGGTTTTCTTGACGCTCAGCCTCGGCGATCTCACGTTCCTTGCGGGCCTTTGCTTCCGCCTTCGCCACCGACTGCTGCTCTTCGTAGTCCAACTCTGCAATCTTTTTCTCCAACTGCGGTTGTAGTAGAGCCAAAGAACGTCTGGCCTTAACCCTCGCCTGGCGCTTCTTCCCTGATCTTCGCTCCGAACCTTTCAACCGCGCGCCAGGATCTTGCGCCCGGCGCTTCGCTCTACTTGCCCGAGGTGTCTGTACTGCCCCCCCAACGTTCTCGCGACGTTGCGTTCCCTCTTCGTGGCCTCTCGCAGCAGCTGGAGAAGATGGGTTCTCCGTCTGCTGGCGAGCGGCCGGATGCCGCGGGGACACGGGCGGTGTACAATCCCCCACTGCCGGGGGGAACAGCACAGGGGGTGCAGCAAACCACGTCTTCTGTCCCGGTTAGCCATGGAGCTGCGTGATTGCACATGATCATGAAACCACCCTGAAAGCGAGGTTGGGTATCGTCACACAAAGAAACGACAATTAGTTAGTGGTCAGTCTTCAAGTTTGTAAAGCAGAGGTGCTCTTCTTCGCGGTACCACCTCGAACTGTCGGTGGTAGTTTCCAGATCAACACGTCCAAACCTACAGTGTTCTCCTTCGACATGTGGGCAGCACGAACGGGTACGCCGAATCACACATGCCAAGAAAAGTGGCAGTAGCAATTCAGAAGGGATCAAATGTTGAACTGGAAGGCTGGACGTCGATTTCCTAGCGGCATATGCAACACGCACTAATATTGTGTATTGCATTGTTGGGGCCTGCTTTCGATGTGCATTACACCGGCCGCGCACATGCCTGCGGATGATTAGATACCAACACATCGTTCGGATCCACAGGTGGCATTTGATCTCAAAATGGTTGGGGGTCTCTTACCAAATGAAGTAATTCCTTTTGCAATAGGTGGGGATGTGAACTGAGTCTGTTTATCAATCTACCCTAAGTTGTGGAGCGCCAACCTTGTGTTCATGCACCCGCGGCCGTACACACGCGTGCTCGTGGGTGCTGGCCACCACCCGTGGGATCCAACAACGAGCTTGAGTTTTGA